TGTACTCATGTAGAGGAGTTTGTTTCTTCATCAGATTTAGAGAAATTTAGCATTACATCACTTGCTCACCAATGGATCCTCTGCAGTGATTGGGTGCCGTCAGTGAACATTAAGGCATTTTTGGTAAGTATTATTGATATTACTATATCAATAGATAGATGACTAATGCCAACAAATGGAACTTTATTGTAAAGTGTTACCAAACTGTTTATTCCAGTTTTTATTAAATGCAACAATGGAATGTTGCCACTAAAAAAGCAAAAAGCTTCAAAACAAACCACAGAACTTCAATTTTTTGATTTCTCCCTTGGGATCTGATTAAAAATTAAGGTCAAAAGAACCCGGTCTCAGCCATATGACAGCTCTCAAAATACATGTAAGCCATCAGGTAGCGTAATAGAGCTGCCAAAATTCTCTAAAGCCCACAAATGCTGGAGACAAGCTGTCTTTCCACCCTCTCGTATGTGCTGAAAGGGCCCCGACTCAACGCTTGCTGATCCCCGCATTACTAGCATGGTTTGACAGAGACATTATGGCATGAGATCATTGACAGATAAAGCCGGACGGATACAAACAGCAACCGGCTCATCAGATCAGATTTTTCAGGCATGTTGTAAGAGGTATTGACCTCATTTGTGGCCCACAACCCAACATGGAGAACGGTGTCAATAAAAGAAACAAGCCGCCATGAATCTCTAGTCAATGAATATTGAGCAGAGGCGGGACTATTGGTGCGTTCAAGTCATGTCGGATAGATCGTATTTACGAGTTGAATGCACATGAACGCCACCACAAAGTCGTTATTACGAGTGGGAAACTCGAAATTTTCTTTAAGCCCCGAGTTTCCGAGTTGGGTCAATGAGAAACATGGCGGAATCGATGGATGCAACGTCTGTAGTTGACGGTAAATTTTTGTTTAAATTGATAGTTTAGTTGTCCTATAAACTTAAATTAGTCATGTTCTTGTTACGCAGCTAGTTAAAGAGATCCAAGTAAAAAAATGCAGACCCGGTTGTATTTTCTTGTAATTTATTAAAAGAAGGTACACCGCCATCTTGTGCCGACTAAACTGACTTGAACGCACCTGACGTCGTAATTACGACTTGTCAACTCGTAAGTACGAACGTCCCAGGAGGACTTGAACGCAGCATATGTTAAGACCGAACGAGTCAGTCGAATACATCGATGTGGAAATGACGGCCCCTGAGAGGTGGAATAAGGGAGGTTGCTCGGTCCACGCCCTGGAACATCTTGACAAGGTAAAGCGAGGATGTAGAGTTAAAACTGATGTGTTCGTAATAAGAGTGGTTAAAATGGTCTAATCTGCATCATATAACCTTCATTTTCCTTGATTTCCCATCCAAATTAAAACTCAATATGAAGTTATATAATCAGTATCAAATAGATTGTTGCTTGTTGTCCATTAAAAAAAGTGTTAGCTTATCTTTTTATAAAAAGATATAGTTTTGTCGCGAAATGTGTATGAAAAAGTGATTAAACAATACAGGTGCATCTCAATAAATTAGAATGTCATGGAAACGTTCATTTATTTCAGTAATTCAACTCAAATTGTGAAACCCGTGTATTAAATAAATTCAATGCACACAGACTGAAGTAGTTTAAGTCTTTGGTTCTTTTAATTGTGATGATTTTGGCTCACATTTAACAAAAACCTACCAATTCATTCTCACAACAAATTAGAATATGGTGACATGCCAATCAGCTAATCAACTCAAAACACCTACAAAGGTTTCCTGAGCCTTCAAAATCGTCTCACAGTTTGGTTCACTACGCTACACAATCATGGGCCCGACTGCTGATCTGACAGTTGTCCAGAAAACAATCATTGACACCCTTCACAAGGAAGGTAAGCCACAAACATTCATTGCCAAAAAAGCTGGCTGTTCACAGAGTGCTGTATCCAAGCATGTTAACAGAAAGTTGAGTGGAAGGAAAAAGTGACAATTTGAGTTGAATTACTGAAATAAAGGAACTTTTCCACGACATTCTAATTTATTGAGATGCACCTGTAGAAACTATGATTAAAGACACGTTCACACCAAAAAACGATAACTATATAGGCTTCCACACCAATGCAAAATAACGTTCTGTTTATTATAATCACGCACTGCAGTTTTGTCATCTGTCACTTTAAATTCTCAAGCTCTTTAAAGCAGGATGGATTCTGATTGGCTGTCAGTGGTTTCATTGTTCATCAGTTCCAATTATATTGTTTTTCTGTCGTTATTGTTACAGTTTTGATGTGGACTCTGCTGTTCTTTTCATTTTAGAACAATTTTTAAAAACCGCATCTTTATCGTTATAGTTATTGTCCTTCTTGTGCTGCTTTTGGCAGCAAGGAAACGGAGATAAGGGGTTTTTATCCCCCAAAAATAAACAGCAACTTCTAAAACGTACAAAGTTTACAAAAGAACCAACGATTGTTACATTGTACTGACTTTTTTTCTCACAAAAAGTTTTGCAAGTTAATTAAAGCAAGTTTTTAATCATTCCTCAGCTGGACAAAAACGGTGTGAAAGTGATTCCAAGGACATCAACCATCTGTGCCATTATAGTTATAGTTCAGAGAACGATTTTTAAAACTACATCGTTCAAGTTATCATCCTTAGTGTGAACTGGCCTTAGGTGTTATTTTTCGCTTTTTTTTTTTGCAATTAAGAGTTTTTGTGTTTAAGTAAAATAAACAGCAATTGTGCTTTCCAAAACATGCAAAACATTTTTACGAAAGAAATAGCGATTGTTACTTTGCACTGTTTCTTTCGCAAAAATGTTTTGCAAAGCAATGCAATTGCTGTTTATCTTTCATTAAACAACTGGGTTAAGCACTACTTTTTTTAATGAAAAAAGCAACATCTGTGTATTATTTTTATATTAAATGATTCATGAAATTTCCATTATACATTTAAAATACTTTTGAAGTATTTGAATACATCCAAGCATTTTAATAATTAATATAAAATAAAAATAATGCATCCATTTTATGCATGTATTTAAAGTTTCAAAGTTCTTATATGTGAACAAACATGTGAAAAATACGTTTTGTAGTAAGAACTTCTTTAGTTTCTTAAACATCTCTGGTCTTACTGTGCATAAATCATCACTTTATATTATATTAAACAATGTTTATTTTCATATTCGGTCATCAAAACATAACTTTCTGCATCTGAATTTACATTTCCACTGGCAACAAATGAAAAAATAGTTCAAAAGTCTAAATTCTGATTGGATGAGTCACATTCGAAGTCACATTTTTAATAAATACACACACATTTTCTAAACTAATTTAAAAAAATTGAATGTATGACAAATCATTTTTGAAATAGGAACCTCCGAGAAAATGGTCACACACCAATGAACAGAAGCCTGTGAAAATGCTCCGGTTTCCTGGGAAAAGCCCACCCTGGAGATTCGGAGAGCTGAACATAGAGCTCACATGCTACATGGCAAATGTTCAGATACATGACCTGGAAGACAAGAGGTCAGCAGGCAGCAGACGCCGAAATGAGTCCCGAAACCCTCAACGGCAAGAGCACCTACAGGGTGGGCCACTTCAAAGACATTCCACACGCTTGGAATTCTGGGAGACATACCAAGGCAAACTACAGAGTGTCAGAAGATCCCAAACAGGTCCATGGAGTCAGGAAGGTCAACGGTAATGTTAAAACTATTCCAGCGTATTTTGACGTCCTAATATTTGAGAGTACAACCGTAGATGTTTTCCAAAAGAGCAACAGCGAAAAAAGATTAACTCATATTTGGAACCAATGTTGGAAAACTGTTTCATATAGAGCAGAAAAATTCAAAAATTGCTCATTTTGCCAAGTTTCTTTACATGAAAACAAACAGATTGCATGAACATTTATCAAGTTTCTGATAGAGAAATCACACCACCTGCAAACACCTCATGTTTTCCCAATCTACATTTCAAATGGCTCGCTGGGATGCAACGGTTACCTATAATAAGGAAGATCTAATTATCTCCAGACCATTATTTATAACACCGTGTTACTATTGCAGGCATCAGTCCAGCACTATCTTGAGACAGCAGCTCTAAAAAACATTAACAGCCCACTATTCTAAGTGTGCCCATAAAAGTGCCTATCCTAAATTTAAAATGATGTTCAGAAATGGAAAAGCTGAAGGGGTTTAGATACAGTAGATATAAATTTCACAGTAATAAAGGATCTAAACGTGTGCTACAGCTTCGTTATTTAACATGTAATGAATGAATTTAATGAATGAATAAAACTTTGTTTAATAAAAATTCAATTTTGCACAAACCTGGAAACACTTAATTATATATATTGGTTGAATTTGTAGTAAAAAAACATGGTAAATTTTCGTAAGGGATAATTATACATTATTATAACATGTTCCACAAACACCGAGCACACATGCAACATATTTTTCCTTCTCATTTGGGAATTCCATAATTGATATCACACCGAAGTCGACCTGGATATAAAAAGAGACCCAACGTAGGCTAATCCCACACTTATGGGATCCGACCTGGGAATCTTCTTAGGGCTTGTTTACACGCTTCCAGATCGAACGTGAAGAACGTGCGTGTGCGCCTCCGCGACTGGAATCCAGGCGAGTCCAGTCACGAGCGCTGATCTGGCCTAGAACGCCAGGCCTGAGGAACGGCCCATTTTGAGAGGAAGCGGGGGACGACGACATATAAAAACATACGTTTAACAAAACAATAAGCTTTCATTCCACAAATGACCTAAATGATACCTTCATGAAATATTTGACACATAAAAATGTTTCCGAATGATCAAATTTCAACACACAAGCCATTTTAAAACAATCCAATAAGTGGAACATCCCTCGCCAACACATGTCGGAGCGGCCCGAAGTCTACAAGGAGTGAATTCCACAAGTCCCTTCAGTTGTAACTATAATAGTACGCACACATAGCATAATAACACGTCAATATTTTGTGAATTAAAACGTTAGAGAGTGTCACGACTTACTTTCTCCATGTAGCGATCCGCAGAGGCACACGATGTAGGCGAAAGTGACCAAAACAACCACAGATGTGTCCAGCCGCATTATGCTTCGCGACACGTTTTAGTTTTCTTGGAAAATTAAATCCACCTCTGGTGTGTCCAAAAAACTGGTGTGGAGCAATAAAAGAAAAATAAAACCTTAATTAGCTTATATCCAGGCCAAAAAAAAGTCAGGGACAACTTAAATGAGACCCCCCAAGAAGGGGACCCAGGGGTCCAGCGTGCTTCAGTTGAAGATAATGTTCAATTTAAGTAGTTGTTGCCTACACAGCGTGAGCATTAAATAACATGATCTTGCACCCTAGTGAAAAATAAATGGATGAAAATCATTTTGAACGATTTCTCTGATTCATCTTTGCTTTCAGTAGATCAAGCATGAAAAACGTCCATGCATTTCTTCCATGGAATCAATCCCACACTTCTAGGAATGAGGTACCCTTAAGGGTACAGTGCATTGCAACTATTTCATACCCGTTTTAGCTTGAAAATGTATGTAATATTAATAATAATAATGATAACAGCAATAATAAGGTACCTTTAAATGCTGTTTAAAAACAAAAATTGCTTTAAAAATAAAAATATTCCAAACGTTCACAGAAAAGCTTCCCAATTGTCAAAAAATCCTGAATTTTAACGTCTCTGAGGAAAGAAGCAAAAAATAGGCGTTATTCCACAGGTCGTTCCATGCACTGCCAAATGTTTCTATCAAAAAAAAAAAATTGGGCATCTCCTCATCTCCATACACACATGCATACACACAACACACACAAAAAAATGTTGTTGTTTTTTTCTCCTCTACTGACAAAAAAAGCCACCGTCCCCTGATATTAAACATCCACACACGTCTGTGTAAATTCAAAGCGTTCAGAGCCCAATAAAAATCTGGATATTCCCCTAAAGCCTTTGCTTCCAGCACAATGCTCCAGAAGTGTGTGAGCGTACGCGCGTCACGGCCGCGTTGCGTTTTAATCTTCCACGTTAATCAAAAGAGCAGCGTCCAACGCGTGTCCGGCCTGCCCGTAAAACCACTCAATTCCGTCCACAAGACCCCGGTGTGCGGTTTCGATGAACTCATTGGCGTGGGAATGGGCTGAAAGTGGGAAAAAGTTCTCTGGTGTTGTCGGCGGTATGGTTTTCCCCCTCTCGTCTCTCCCCGTGTACCTCCACCAGTAAACAAGTACTGCCAGTCAGCTGGGGCAGAGCGGCGGCGCAGCGCAAAACACGGAGCGGGGCGCGGTTGCTGGAACGGAGTCCGGCCTGGAGACTGTGACGCCCACATAAAGAGAACGCAGGAGTCATGACTGAGAATTTTGGTGGTTGGAATCCGAATCCATGCAATAATTTACATGTACAATTTTCAACTGTATTTAATTGTGAATATTTAGCCATTTTTATTATGTGAATTTAATTAATAAAAAATATATTTTTGATTGTTTCTATTGTCCTAATTTGTAAGCCGCTTTGGATAAAAGCGTCTGCTAAATGACTAAATGTAAATGTAAATATGTATTTATTGCTAGTTAATCAAAAGTATGGACAACATTTTAAAGATTTTTTTTTGTTTAAACATATAGTACACTATATTATATTATATTATATTATATTATATTGCATTATTTCATTATATTAATTTAATTATGAATTAAAATATATGGTATTTAATATAAGTTGACAAATTACATGGACAACTTTTTAATGATATTTTGGTTTAAAAAGTATATTTACTATGATACCGTCATTCCATTGCATTTAAGACTTTACATTAAGACTATTAATTTTGATGCTTAGAATCTGAATCCATGCAATATTTTACATGTAAAAATTATAAATGAGTAATTTAGTATTTGTAATTACATGTATTTAATTTACATTAAGTATTTAATATTAGTCGACAAATAATATGGAAAACTTTTTAAATATGTTTGGGTTTAAAAATTATTATTATATTATATTTTAAGGCTTAACATTAAAACTGAGAATTTGAAATTTGAATCCATGCTATATTTTATATGTAAAAATTATAAATAGTAATTGTAAATATTTAGCTCTTTTAATTATATGTAATTAAAATTTAAATATGCATTTATTGTTTGCAGGCCAATAACATGGACAATAACATTTAAAGATTTATTGTTTTAAAAAGTATATTTATTATATTGTATGTTATGTTATATGGCATTTCTTAATATATAGCCCAAGCTTGATGAGATGCTTGAAATGCAAGGTTTATGATGGAGATTTCACTGAAATGTGAATTGTTTGTACATATGATGATTATTAATGTACTAACAAGTGTGCATTGAAGTCAATGATTTACCATTGATCCCTACTGAAGTCAGCATTGCACGAAGGCGTCTTTTTTAAACACAACTGTAATGTAATTGGACAATTTAATCTGTGAAAGCACACAGGAACGGAACATCTTGCTTGCTTTAAAGCTGTGATTAATCTGTTATACAAGAGCTCATATACTGGCAAATGATTTCTGTGATCAGATTCCTGCCGCCCCCCTTTATCAACCCAGCCACATACACACCTGTCAGACGCTGAACGCACGTCATTTCCTGTGCAAAATGTAAATACATTTAAATAAATTAGTGTGTATGGGATAGATAAGTACAGATGACAAGGAAAACTACTGATTTACACGACCACACCTGCAGGGACATTTAAACCATAATTTAACCAAAGGAAACACACAAGCAAATGTCAAATGACTATTAATAAACATTGATGGAGCAAATATTGATTTGCCATTTCATCACTAACACACCTTTGTCAATAATGAGAGATTTTTGCCGGTGGGATATTGACATTGTATTAGAAGAATGAATGGATCTGATGTACACTTGATACAGTAATGTTTGATTAGACACTCTTAGTAAAGTATATTTGAATACTAATATAATTATGAGTGATTTCACTCGTGCATATAAAAGAGCAATATTAGTTATTTGGTATCAAGTGAGTCTTTTTTAGATTCTTTGGTTAGTTGAACCGCCTTAAAGGAATATTTCACCCAAAAATGAGAATTTGCTGAAAATGTACTCGTCCTCAGGCCATCTAAGATGTAGATGAGTTTGTTTCTTCATCAGAACTGATTTGGAGAAATGTAGCATTATATCACTTGCTCACCAATGGATCCATTGCAGTGAATGGGTGCCGTCAGAATGAGAGTCCAAACAGCTGATAAAAACATCACAATAATCCACAAGTAATTAATACCACTCCAGTCCATCAATTAATGTCTTGTGAAATTAAAAGCTGCATTTTTGTAAAAAACAAATCCATAAATATGTTTTTAACTTGCCTCTGGCTAAAATACAAGTCCTTAAACCATAATACTGCTTCCTCCAGTGAAAAATTCCATCTCCTGTTGTCGTCTTACATCAAAATCCAATGACATTTGTGTTTAGAACTGTTTTGGACCGTTTTCACTTGTAAACTTGTGCATATTTCTCTACTGATTCAGATGAGATGGCTTTTTCTTTGGAGAAAGCAATATTATGGATAGAGGACTTGCATTTTAGCTGGAAGCAACGTTTGAAGTTAAAAGCATCTTAATGATGGATTTGTTTCTTACAAAAATGCAGCTTTTCGCTTCACAAGACATTAATTGATGGACTGGAGTGGTGTGGATTACTTGTGGATTATTGAGATGTTTTTATCAGCTGTTTGGACTCTCATTCTGACGGCACCCATTCACTGCAGAGGATCCATTGGTGAGCAAGTGATGTAATGCTACATTTATCCAAATCTGTTCTAATGAAGAAACAAACTCATCTACATCTTAAGGCCTAAGGGTGAGTAAATGTCAGCAAATTTTCATTTTTTTGGGTGAACTAATCCTATAAGACCACCTCTGATCAGTTTGCGGTCTACGTGGGAATAGCAAAAATGTTTGAACACATTTAGAAGTCATGATGATTTTAAAAGATTAGCAAACAGCTGTTGCCAATATAAAAACACAGCTGCTGGTTTTTTGCGGCTTGATTCATGGGGAGCTGTGTATATAAATATAAACATGTTGGCAGCACATGCCAGCGGGTTTTAGCAACTCATTTCAGTTTTCTATATCTGGTATCTATCTATCTATCTATCTATCTATAATTTCACCTAAACATTACCATAAACAAAATGGTCTCAAGATATACCTTGATGAGATGACTACACTTGGCCACCTCAGTCTCAAAACAAGACGAGGTTATTTACCACAACACCAGGGAGGGAAGATTGAGAAACCAGGTAACCAAACAGCTTCCTGAACAACTTCCTGCGTGTTGCTCACCATTAGTGTTTACAGGAGGGCAGATCCCCCATACCACCCATCCTGGAGGACCTACGGCATAATTATACCGGCTCCTTCTGCGAGGAGCAGCCGAGGATCAAAGCAGAAGAGCGTTTCCCACACTGCTCTTCCTGCTGGGGCATGTTGCAACAACTTTGTTTAAAACAAGCCCTCCGCCCCCCGCACACCACAGTACTGTCTTTACTTATTCACCGACTTCAAAACTTTACATAAACCCGACATAAAATGTCTTGACTTGGTACATGACTTGTAAGTGAGCCAAAAATCATGTAGAGTTGTGAAATATGCGCACAAACTTGTCTGCTGCCATTCGTTGGACACATTTGACCTTCATTTCTTCACGTGGAACAAAACCTTTGACGTTAGAATCGACCTTGAGAAGATACAACAAGCTGCTTTCTGAATTCAAACATCGGTTTTGGCAGGTTCTCAGTCGTGACCAGAAATGACACTGTTTTTTTTTGTTTGTGTTAATCAAGTGAAAGCTTTTCCAGTTTACGGTTAAAGATCTCCTGAGAAGGCGGTTTTATTGTGTCTTAATCTCGGTGAACTTGAGCGGTTTCCAGGAACTTTGCAGCACCTGCTGGGTTCCCCAGGGGTTGAGCGGAGGCCCGCGGCCGGGCGGAGGTGTCACTTCAATCCCTTCACCCCAGCTAACCTGCCACCTTCCAGCCAGATCACAGCTTTCCCTGTCAGGAACCGCAAAATTAAAACTCACAGCTGCTTTATCTGCTCGCTTTACTTCAAAGGTGGGTCGACCTGGTTTGGAAAATTAGGCCTTTGGGTCCACAGGAGTCCTGTGTCAGAGTAACCATGATTTATGATGCATTAGGGGACTGCTAAGCTAACAGCGACAGGGGTCATAAAGAACATTATTCCAAAGTACATAAATTTCCATGTGCATCAGCATTTTTTCCGAACATAGAATATTTTGTGAAAGACGTAATGTTGCCTCATGAAGTGCAGTTGGGTCCTTCCCACCAAGTGAATACATCTCAGGTTAGGTTCTTGAACATTACAAGATACAGTTCATTTACTCAGGGTTCCCACATATTTTCCATTTCAAAATTCCATACTTTTCCAGACTCAAATTTCCAAACCGATTTTCAGACCATATTTAACATAAATGGTTCATGGAGCATTATTTTCAGCTTCATATTTGGTGTATAGTACAGTCATCTGTAAATATTTTTATTTTCTCAGGGTTTTTTCATTGATTTTCTCAAGGTGACAGCATAGAATCCCTAAAATAAAAAAATAAAAAATAAAAAGCACAGAATTTAACATGCACACAAAATGTTTTTGTGCCCTCGAGAAACTATTCACATCTGCGTGGGAATGTTTTGCATGCTTACGCATTACAATTTCTAGGTTTATATAACCTATTTCCTTTGTGCATCACTGCCATCTTACTATGAATAAAACAATAACATGGATGCACATGAATTAACAGAGATCAACCCGCTCAAAATTTAGCTTTTCTTATGGTAGTACCTCTAATATCAAGGCCTAATGTCCAATTTAACACACCTTCTGTGGCGGCGAGAAACCATGACCCGAAATGGGCTGATGGCATAAAATTTGCCAAGTTCAAGGGTCTATAAAAAAGACTGGTACTGTAAAAAACTGTTTAAGGTTTGGCTTTCATTGGGGCAGTATGCCATATTTCAAGTCTCTTTAATGCATAGTCTGTGGCGGCCAAGAAACCACACCACGAAATGGGCTGATGGCACAATAGGTAGCCCAGTGTGCATTATGCTAATTGTAATGGTTTCTTTTGCGCACATAAAAGTCAGTATATTTTTCATTTGTGCAAAGGTCCTTGAGGTTATGTAATACGGTGCTAAGAATACAGTGAGAAAAAACTCAAAATGCTTATAACCTGGATTTTGCATAATGAAAAAGTGCACCTTGAATTCATTCAGTCATATTTGACGATCACTAAAGAATCACTAAACAGCTGCCATGAAACCTCACTTCTTGTACGATAATTTTTTTTTCATTAAATTCTTAATTTTCTATTATAAAAAACTAAATAAGGGCAAAAGTCTGGAAACACAAACATTTTTCAATACTCTGCTTTTCCACCCCCCCCATACTTTTCCAGACCTGGAAAATACTTAAATCAAATTCCATACTTTTCCAAACCGCGTATAGGAATCCTGTTTACTACAGTGGGGCCCTATTGACAATGCTATTTAGCAAAGTTTAATGTATATGAAAACATTTAAAGGTGACATACGAAAAGGCCAAAAAACAATTAATTAAATTACATTTAGATTATTACAATTGTATAAGAGATAAAACAATTTCAAGATGTAATCTCAGGACGTCTGAGGGGGGAAAAGCCAAAATTGTTTGTAAATTGAGTTGAGTTGTAAACTCAGAATTGCGAGGAAGGTAGAATTTTGAGTTTATATCTTGCAATTCTGACTTTTCCCCTCAAAATTCTGAGATTACATCATGAAATTGTTTAAGAAATATTGATTTTCCGAATTGCGAGCTGTAAATTCAAAATTCCTTCTCACAATTCGGAGTTTTTAGCCCTCAGAATTCACATCTTGAAATTGTTTCAAAAAGTCCTAATGATATAAACTTAGAATTGCGAGAAAAAGTTCTAAACGTGAGGTGAAAAGTCGCAACTAGCTTTATTTTTTCATTCCGTGCAATGACTGGATTTCGGCTGCGAAAATTCGCCGAGCAAGAACAAATGACCGCACCTTCTTACCGCAACTTATTAGTAAAGAGGATTGAAACAAAATAGACAAGTAGGCGGATTGCCAATTATTTTATTAAAATAATACACCCTCCTGTTTTTTTCTTCACAGTTAACTTCGAACACATCTGATAGAAAAGAAGAGCAGCCTAGCCTATCTGTTCATGTGAATGAATTACAGGAGCGAAACTAAGCACACGGACAAATAAAAGATCATAGGCCGCTTCAGATCAACATTAAGATCCATCAATAGAGCTGCGCAGTGGAACAAACACGTTAACCATATCTGAGCAATACTTAATACTCCGTCCATGTGCTATATAGGGAACAAGCACAAATAGATCGTTAGCATCTAAATATGGGCCATTTACTCTCTGGGTGGAGAAGACGGTATCCATCTGTGCTTCCGACGGGCAAAAATACTTCCTGCTGTTTGCCAGAACATTTCCTGATCGACGCGGCGAGTCTCGACAAGTCGACAGGACCTTAAAACAGCTCGGTCCGTTTTTATAGCCACCGTAGCCTACGTGAGAAAGTGAATAACAGAAACTCAGATAAAGCTGGATGAAACTGTCAGTCATTTTTATCGTCTCAAAACGCTCATTAGTGTCAAAATGTATTATATTAAGCAATATTATACAAGCCTGTTGGAAATGAAAACAATTCAGGGAAAACTTTGACCGCATCTTTAAAAAGACGAAAACGTCGGTCTCAGTTAGTATTAAGAACGTTTGTCGTCAGATTACTCAGCCTATTTAAATGACAGACGAACAGTTTGTAGTTATCAAATACTTACCGTTAATAACAACCGAACAAATTATTCATTTAAGACGTTCTTCACAGAGATTCGGCGCGAATTCGTTATGACATCGACAATGGCATGCAGGTGAAGTACATTTTTGCAGGAATGACTGAAGTTGACTGAATGATTGAGGCTGTCAATCAAATTCATAACTCTTAGCTAGTGTCTGTAAACCTGTTGTAATAGATAAATTAAATCTAGCTGTTCTAATGATGATTAACATCATCTGAGTCGCGGGAACAGTCTTATGAAGAGGATCATGCTGATAAACGTGAAGGAGACGACGATTAACATCAGCCACAGGAACCAGTTGACGGATTTCTTGGCGTGCTGCTCCAGACGCTCTGATTCAGTCTTCAGCTTCTCGAAGTTCATGTCGGCCTGACGCATAGACTGAGTGAGAGTCTGAGGAGAAAGAAGAGCGTTTACAGTGTCATTCAGTTTAACAAAGTTATTCAGAGTATATCAAAAGTTTGAGTTTAATGGCACTGTTTGGTAACAAAGTCATACAAAAAAAGCTTCTATTAGTTTATATACTGATTTGTAACGCCATGCTGCTGTAGTAACACCACACTTAGGTTTGAAAGCTCAATAATTAGTCTAACAGTAACACTAATATAGTGCTGCCCTCTAGTGGTCACACAACAAATAAATCAATAATACATTATGAACCACTCTTTTTAGGCAGCTACTTTACATTTTTAAATGCACTTTATTGTGGTGATTTTCACTCAGAAAAGTAATCAAATAATAATTAATAATATTAAAATATAATATTACATTACAATAGAATATTATTATATTAATATAATATATAAAATAAATATGCAAACATTAATAAAACGATGCAATAATATTATTATTGTGTATTTTTTTTATCAAGTTGAATATGCTGATTTAAAAATAATCCCTAAAATCAGGAATTGAAAGGCATGAAGCTGGTGCAAGTAAAAAAATTAAATATATTTATAGAATATATACAGATAATATAAAGTCACAATATTTATTTTGTTTATTATCTTTGCAAAAATGTAATTATTTAAAATGATTACTACCAACTATGTTTTATTCTTTTGAGCTGGCAATAATTAATTTGAGGCAGATAATTTGCTAGATTAGATGCAAAAAAATCCTATATTACTGTAAAATAAGTATGTCATAATATTAATAATAACTTTATTTTATTATTAGAATAAAGTATAATAATATAATAATTAATAATAATAATAACAGCAACAATGGTAATATAATATAAATATGTAATAATGTTAACAGCATTATTTTATTAATGGAATATATATATATTAATATAATTATCAGCAACAACAAAGTAATAATAACAATAATAATAATATTTTTTATTATTATATACTTATTATAAGAACATATAATGTAATGTGTTTTTTTAATTTAAAATTATTACTACCAACAATGTTAGAGTTATATTCTTTTGCACTGCCAATAATTAATTTTAAGTAGATAATTGGTGACCATTTTTTTGCTAGATAAAATATATTACAGTAACAAGAATTGAATGTCATTCAAGAATGAGAATGATAAAATATGTTGTTGATTAAAAGATGTACAGACTTTTTTTGCTCTCAGAGGATGGGCATTATGGTCCTAAATATGCACTATTATACAAACACCAGATTAACTGCAGCCGTGTAGACAGAAAAACATCAGACCTGGTTGTCCTGCTTGATGATGTTCTGGGCCGCGAGCGTGTTGTTCTTCAGGTTGCGAGCGAGATTCAGCATGTCATCAGCTAGTTTCTCCTGCAGGTTGTGATGATGCTGTAGAATAGCGTCCAGCTCTGCCGCTGACTGCCGCTCGTCTACAGGAATACTCCTGAAAAACCAGCAGAAATAACTGAATACTGTAGATTCCAGTGACACGTTCACATAGAAAATCAATGAGAGAGCGCCACCTACTTTCTGTGTCTGAGATCCGTATCCAATGAACCTAACCATGAAGAACAAAGAAGAGTAGTGCTGTCAAATGATTAATCGCGATTAATCGGATCCAAAATAAAAGGTTTTGTTTACATAATATATGCGTGTATGTATTGTGTATATTTATTTTGTATATATAAATACACATACATACAGTATATATTTTGAAAATATTTACATGTATATATTTATATTCTTCTCATTTATATTATATATAAATATATTTTATATACAAACATAACATATTTTTCTGAAATATATACATGCATGTGTGTATTTATATATAAATGATAAATATACACAGTACACACACATATTATGTAAACAAAAACGTTTAATTTGGATGCGATTAATCACGATTAATCGTTTGACAGCACTAAAGAAAAGGCATGCTTAATATCTATAATTTAATTTCTTAAAATGTAGCATTTAAATTAAAAGAGAATATACAGCTTACCAGAACTTGACACAGCCTGCTAAGAAAAGAACAGATAAAAGAGTAAGTAAAAATGTACATTTTTACAACGTAAAAAATGGAAAAAGTTAATTTTCTTAACCAGTATATGTATATATATAAATTTGGATGCGATTAATCGCGATTAATCGTTTGACAGCACTAAAGAAAAGGCATGCTTAATATCTATAACTTAATTTCTTAAAATGTAGCATTTAAATTAAAAGAGAATATACAGCTTACCAGAACTTGACACAGCCTGCTAAGAAAAGAACAGATAAAAGAGTAAGTAAAAATGTACATTTTTACAACGTAAAAAATGGAAAAAGTTAATTTTCTTAACCAGTATATGTATATATATATATATATATTTACGGATATTCCGATTTAGGATTTACGAAGGTATACAATTCTAAGAAAAACATGAAAACATAAAAAAGCACATTAGTAGCTGAAAGAGGAAAGTGTCGTACGGTACTCATCAGCTCCTTCCTCATTTCTCCAGCACATCGCGCTTTACTCTGAATGTGCACCGTCTTACTGGCCGGCGTTCTCTCGCTGGATATCGTAGGCGTCCGTCCAGGAGCCAGAAACTGATTGGCCAAAGACTTCTCTGCTGGAGACGGCTAGACACAAACAAAGCGTTTCTAGTTACAATCATAGAATGAGGACTCATTTTACTGTCACTGAGCAAGTGGTGACCAGATAGCATAATTACTGACCAGTTTGTCTGCCTCTAAGAGACCCTTGAGGAAGTCCACCTTGCGGTTGTAGTCCGTCAGTATTTCCGGTGTTGGTTTGCTGAGATATAATAAATCAGATATAAATCATGACTCATCATCTACATCAATATCTGTTTATATCACAGCTGTAGGAGAAACACTACTAGCCATTTTTTCATCTTAACATCACTTTGACTTTAAAGGGGTCCTATTATGCTCTTTTACAAAGTCTTGATTTTGTTTTGGGGGTGTACTAGAACATGCTCTCTATATTTCTCTTTCATACAATAAATGTTGAAATGGTTATGTTTACACTTAAAATATGCCATTCATTAATGCCTGTAATCTTAAATAAACTTACCTGGGACTCTTTTTAAGGGCAACAAGCATCTCCTCAAGAGCACCAACGTACTTGAAAAGACAATTAAATCTATTGAATATGGTTTTCTGCTAAAAATGATAGAGAGCAGCATATTACATTGAAAAATGTACAAATATCCACAGCGAAGACAGAAAGCAAATAAGACATTAACTAATTAATCCTAACGCATTAGGCATAAATATGAATGCATGTCTTGTTTTTGACACGTAATTCATATATAAATGACGTTGGCAATATTGCTTTGTTGTATCATGCAGAAAATACAACATTTACTTCAAAAGCACAGAAGTACACGCCAAATGCAGAGTTGTTATGAATTACCTTCTCTAGTCTCCATTCTGTCTCATTTCTTTTCTCTGAAGCCAGAGATTCACAACGCGATAATAACCTGATAAAATTGATCTCTAGTCTGGACGTGGCCATATTTGACGCTCAAAGCGGAAGTCGCGCGAGTCTTACACACAACAAGACGGAACAGAGCGACAACTGAAGAGTCCTGTTGGTTGCGCAGGAGCGGTTGGTAATAACTTATTGCGAATGTATTATACATTTAAAAACAAACATACAAAACACGTGTACTTGTAACTTACGTTCATATCCATCACTTAAAAATAGGTAATGCAATCTGAGAAAAAAAAGCAAATTAAACGTCCCCCGTGATGATGCAATATCTCTTCCTTTAAAAAAAATTAACCATGGTTTTACTAAAAAACAACAACAACAAAAAGTTTCTATAGTTAATAAGTATCGTTTTTTATTTCTCCACTTTCCTACTACTTGTTTCACTTCTGTTAGGGTTAGTTTTTATAACCATTTCTTACTATGTGTAAGTAAGTTGTTGTTTTTTAGCATGTGTGTTTGGCAGTGTTATTTTTTAGGATTACTGATAAACTACTGTCGTTTGCATGTGTACAAACGTAGGCTACAAACAACATGTACGTTGTTTTTGTGGTGTTTGGCTTAGTGTTATGTTAAAAAAAAAAAATTTAAATTTTAATTTTTTAAATTTAAAATTTTTTTTATTTAATTTAAATGTAGTGTTATGTTAGAATCATTATTATACTCTTATACCTTTTGTTCTTTAATATTTTGAATTGTTTTTAGCTTTATTTTTAGTTTTTCATTTAAATGTTAAGTTTTTGTTGTATGCATTTGTCATTTTTATTTAATTTCTTTATTTTTAAAATGTGTATAAGTAGTATTTATAAAGTTTTAGCTTTTAGTTTTGGATCTGTTTTTAGTTGTTTTAATACTACAATTGATTGCTTCCGTTGTCCTCATTTGTAAGTCGCTTTGGATAAAAGCGTCTGCTAAATGACAAAATAAATAAAATAGTTAAACCATGCTAACCACAAATTAACCATGATTTTGATATGCTAACCATAGTTTAACCATGGCATTTGTGGTAAAACTGTGGTTATACAAATGGTAATCAATATGCCAAAAAAAAAAAAAAAAAACGTTTACTAATAATAAAACTATGGTGAATTTTCATAAGGGTTTCAAATGACGATTAACAGCAGTAAATTAATTTGCATCATTTCAGTGAGTCATTTGGTTTATTTGATATTTTCTGAAGGTCAGCTGTAGCACTATGTAGAGATTTGGATGATAGAGTTGTTTTATGGAACAGGTCCCCAGTGTGATATCAAAATCTGGTTCATCATAAGATTATGACTCTTATATTCTATGATGATTAGGATTAGGTGTGGGTTTTACATGTAGGAACCAATGAGGGTGCAGACTCCCCACTGAATGAACCAGTCAGAATCAAAGGAGTCAAACTGTCACGGGGAATAAGATTTGGAAACAGTATTATTGGAAGGTGTATACATCACAGCTTAACAAGCGGATCAAATTCACAGTTCAACCTGAACACACGTTCAACAAGCTCACAGAATGAAGACGCTGCTGCTTTCAGCACTGTTGTTCCTCCAGATCCACTGACAGATCCTGAATATAAGTTCAGCCAAACTCTGTATATGAAACAGCTTCATACTGAGAGATTGTGTTGATTTATCGCTGTTTGCTTCAAATGATCAGCATTGAGAGCTGCTTGAACATGTAATGAAATTGTACTTGAACATGCAATGAATTTGCTTTTGTCTATAAAAAATCCTGTAGTTAAATGTCAATGTCTTAAATGTAATGTCTTTATTTATGTCTCTTTCCGAGCTTCTACACTCTTAAAAAGAAAGGTGCTTCACGATGCCATAGAAGAACCTTTTTGGTCCTGACTTTTTCCAAAATGAGTCATTATTTACTCTTCAACCAGTAGCAGTAAATAAACAACAAGCGCCAGCAGGGCCAGTATAAGTTGAACTTTCGTCACTTCATCTGATTTGCAGTATTTGGTCATTTCTGCAGCTCAACAGTAGCACTTCCTCTATGAAATGTTATAAAAGTCACCCACAAACCTGAACACAAGCTCAACCTGAACACACGTTCAACAAGCTCCCAGAATGAAGACGCTGCTGCTTTCACTGCTCTGTAAGTTTATTTCTGTGTGATTGAGTGTGATTCTGTCAGATGATCTCAATGATCTGTTTTCTGTTTCTTCAGGTCTGTTTGTGTGGAGTCAGTCCACAGAAGCTTTAACTGATCAGCAGGTGGTTTTAGGACAGAGTGTGACTTTAGCCTGTGAGTACAGATTAAAAGTCGTTACTTGGTTTGTAATGAAACTACCAGCTCATCCGGAGATGATACTGCGAACTTTTGGATCAGAAAAGCCTGAATATTACGATGAAAAATTCCGTGAGAAATATACAGAAGGAGACAGAAGCCACTTAGTAATCAATAATGTCAGTGTTGATGATTTAGGAATTTATTACTGTATAAAACCAGGCTTTGCTCTACAGATCAGTGATGGTATCAGCCTGCACACCACTGGTAAGTGAGAAAATGCAATACATTTACACAACTAAAATCTACATTATTATCATTATTTATGTTGTCTATTTATGATTTTGCATTACAATTATCCAAACTGATTATTTCTGTGATGACAGTTATGGTCCAGACTGTACACCCACTGGGGTGTGTTTCCCAAAAGCATTGTTAACCATCTATGGTTTTAACATTCAAGGTGTTTCCGGTGTCCATAGTTTCTGTTCGCAAACAGCATTGCAAACTTAATTTTGTGGTTGGATCTACAGCTCTCCACCTGTGGTTAGAAGTTTACTAACTATCCAAACAAAACATTAATACTTTGCTTTTCTAAAAGAAATGTCTCAGTCTCAGCGACCGTACCAGACTGCACAACACTGGAAAGTCACTGGCAATAAATGTATTCTTCTGAGATACTACTACTACTACTACTACTACTACTCAGAATAATAAATATTTGTTTCTGTTATTATTATTATTAGTATTAATGCTTTAAGAGCTCTCAACGTGGGGTTAGGAGCACAGTTTCTTGTTAGTATGACGTGAATAAAATCATGCACTTGAGCAAATTAAGCAAACTAACATCTTTCATTCCATTCATTCTACGTCTTTTAGTTTGTTAAGAGAACTCAAGCGGCATTTCTGAAGAGTGCGCATGCACGACCAAAAATGGTTCTTCTATGGCATCGCTTGAAGAACCTTTTGAGGCACCTTTATTTTTAAGAGTAGCTAAAATTAGGCTTTAAAAAATGAAATGGTTTGGGATGTAGTGACAGCGGCTCTCCTGATTGGTCATCCAGATAATGATGTCATCTCTGGATCTACATTTTCCCGTTTTACGTAGAGTTCAACAAGGTGGAACAGAGCAACAAATGAGCCTGTCTAGGTTACGCAGGAGCGGATGTTCTGAAAATGTATTTCAAAAAAGGCAAAAAAAACAAAAAAAAAACAGCAGGTTTCAGAGAAAGAAGAATGTTTTAGAACAGCCAAGTAGAAGTCCAGCGCTAATTCCAATGGGAAAAACTGGTGGACTGGACTTGAAGCTGGTCTTCAAGCTGCACACAGAAGATCCGCCTGATCAATCTGAAGCTTTTTTGCAAGGAAGAGTTGGATAAGATCTAAGCTGATTGACTTTTTTATGATATTGCTGTATTAAAAGCAAAAAGTGCTTCAATCAAATATTATTTTATTTTATTTTATTTATTTACTCAAAAATCATGCACTTGAGCAAATTAAGCAAACTAACATCTTTCATTCCATTCATTCTACGTCTTTTAGTTTGTTAAGAGAACTCAAGCGGCATTTCTGAAGAGTGCGCATGCACGTACTTGTTCAGTGGGGAACACCACTAAAATAACGGAGAACGAAAATAGCTAAGTAGTCATCAGATTCCATGTTCGTTATTTACAGCAAAAACCTGAGATTAATTTGACCTCGAAATGGATAATTAGCAGAAGTTATCACTCCACCGCCTGCTTGACGTCATTAACGTCAGTTTTTACCGAAGGACAGATGTGCGACAGAATTCCTACGTTTTCGTGAAACAGTCATGAGCCTGTTTCTCTAACGCATTGTACTATAAGTTACTGTGTTGTTCGGGAAACGCACCCCAGGTTATCAATGAATGAATTATACATCTGATTTCTATGTTATTATTGTTAGTAGAAGCCGTAGTAGTTTATCATGTAATTATTAGAGGCCAAGCACCGAAGGTGCATAGGCACCTATTGTATCCGTTGGCATTCTTATTATTCTTTTTTTTCCCTCTGATTCCTTGGCTCAAGTTGATTCATTACACTATATGATGTCATTTTCCATCATTAAAATTTTCCCACCATTTTGAATTTTATGAAGAACTTACTTTTTCGAACTCCTCCTAGGCTGTTGCTCTGATTTTCACGAAAATTGAACCAGATCATCTTCAGACCATGCTGAAAAAAGTTATGGAATTCAAGTTGATTTGTCTAACCATTTTCGAAAAATGCGCAATCGAATTTTTAGTAGTGCTTGTGAAAATAGGCGTAAGGCTGTATCTCCTCAATGCTTTAACGTATTCAGATCAAATTTGTCCATGTCATCACAACCATGACCTGAGATTACATGCTGAGATTACATTTCAGCGCAGCACCACCTAGTGGTCAGAAGATATGAAAAATGGCAATTTTTGCTAATAACGTCTGAATTATTTGGCCAAAAATCAAAACTGGTCTCTTTAGATTCAGTGGAGCATGCCGAGTAGAACCATACTCAATTTTCCCATGTCAGCCATTTTGGGCGTCGGCCATTTTTAATTTTGTCGTAAAAAGCTATATTTTACCAATGCATTGGCGTTATGAAACTCGGTGTGCGTATTCAGCACCATGCTCTGATGGTACTCAAAAGGTTTGGGGGCAGCACCACCTTGTGGTCAAACTGTGTCTGAGGCTGTATCTCTGCAAAGCTTTGACATATTGACACCAAACTTTGTTTGTGCTATTGTCACCTCACACTGACCACGCCACATCAATTTGGTAACAGCATCACCTGTTGGTCAAAAGTGATAAACCATTCATTAACCAATAATACTGAAATTTCTAAAAATGCTAATAACATTTCAATACATTGGCCTGTTGTAATGAAACTGTTCTCAAAATATTCCTTGGGTCATGCCAAGAACAGAGATTCCAATTATGCCATAGTCGACCGAACCAAAGACTATAGAATACCCAAGACGTGTCACTCGTATAGTTTTGAATGGGGAAAAATGCAAAGCTCAATATGGCCGCTCTATCGAACTAAGCCCTGCCTTCTGAGCAAAAGAGCCAATCGCTAATCAGTAAAGTCATCGTGTCACTGCAGCTGCTGTTAGAAGTCCCAGTTGCTATAGAAACAGTCATCATTCTGAGACGTGCGCCTAGGACTGCTGATCTAGCCTGAAAAATACGCTTTTTTTAATGCTATTGGAGCATAATGAACAATATTTATGAGGCAGTTGTTGTCAGCTTGGTGAACAGCAACTGCGCACAACTCTCAACTAATATATATATATATATATTTTTTTTTTTAAAGGAATACTTCACCCAAAAATGAAAATCTGCTGAAAACTGACTCACCCTCCCTCACCCCTCACTCACCCCTGACTCACCTGAGTTTGTTTCCTTATTCAGACAGATTCTGAGAAATTTAGCATTACTTCACTTGCTCACCAATGGATCCTCTGGAGTGAATGGGTGCCGTCAGTTGCTATAGAAACAGTCATCATTCTGAGACGTGCGCCTAGGACTGCTGATCTAGCCTGAAAAATACGCTTTTTTTAATGCTATTGGAGCATAATGAACAATATTTATGAGGCAGTTGTTGTCAGCTTGGTGAACAGTTTTGGAGAATTTGATGTTTCCCCATTCAAAGAGATAGGAGCTGCACTTGCATGCCCGAGAGGCGTTTCAAAGCTGGCCGCCGAGTGACATGACTTGCCTTAAAGGGACTTTGACCGAACTTCCTGTCCGCCATTTAGATTTTTCTTAAAAACCTACTTTTTTGAACTCCTCCTAGATCATTTGTCTGATTTTCACCAAATCCGAGTCAAATTTGAGTGTGCTGACAAAAAGTTATTTTGTGTCGATAGATGAAACAACAAAGTTGAGGCATGATGCCAAAATGACTCTGAAGCTGTATCTCGGCAAAGCTTTGACATATTGACACCAAACTTTGTGTGTGCCATTGTCACCTCACACAGAAAACACCACATCGATTTGATAACAGCGCCACCTATCGGTCAAAAGTGATAAGCCATTAAATCACATTACTGGAGGTTGTATTTATGATTTTTCAGCCATTTTGACTAAAATCAATCTAAAATGGCTTTAATTACTCATTGTTGCAGTTGGTCTGACACTCCATACCATGCTTAGCTCCTCATTTTGCTTCTGTTGTGCTTGGCCCCTTAATTGCTGCTTGGAGCTATATTTGTCTATTATTTTTGTTATTTATGAAATAATATTTATGCAGATTTGTTTCCAATCTAAATTTAAAGAATGAATTCCCTTTATTTAAAAAGTTTTCTAACTATCCAAACAATAAATTAATACTTTGCTTTTCTAAAAGAAATGTCTAAAGATGACAGTGGTCGTACCAGACTGCACACCACTGGTAGGTCACTGGCAATACATTTATTCAAAATAAATATCTAAATGGCAAGAATGCATGGCATTTATTAAATTTTTCTAACAATTATACAAACATTATAGAAGTTATTTTACCTGGCTGTTTTTCTAATAATTATACAAGCATTTTAGAAGTTACTTTACGTGGCTGTAGAAGATAAAACTTGGTATTTTTCTCAAAAACACAGAATCTCCCCGAAATCACAATGAACCAGAGCAAAAAAATCCACCACAAGATCAGACAACACTTCAGATTCCTATCATTATGTTAAGTCTGTTGACTGTTGTGCTATTTGCTGCAGTAATAGGTGAGTAAAAAAGTCAAGACCATAATATATTTAAACCATGTAATGAAAATTATCACTAAGCTTTAGAATTTTTTTACATTTATTATAGGTTATAGATATTATAGATGATATTAAATAATTAAAACATATGTATAATAATTATATTATAAATTATATATAAAATAATAATTAATTATACATAAATATATTAAGTAGTTTTGTTTGTATTACATTTATTGAGTAATTTAGCAGCATTTAATCAAATATTATTGTGCTATTCTAGGTTTATTAATGATGAACCATAAACTGTCTAAGAAAATTCCTAAATATGTCAATGCTCATCAGGTAAGATGTTTCTTATTGCTGTTGATGTAAAAAATTTGGTTATTATGACTGCTTTTACAAACGTTTTATATTCCAGAAAACAAAACAAAAAAAATTTTAATTAAAAAAGAATGTGTAAACATGAAGAGCTGTCTTGATAAATGGAAATAAACATCTAATGTATGATTTTTTTTTGTCATTCGTTTAGATTTCTACTATGAAGTTTCTTGAGAGTAACAGAGGAAAAACAGATCCTGAATATCTAGAGGTGCTGCCAAATTTCTAGAGGTCCTGTATGAAACAGTGTTGATTTATTGCTGTTTGCTTCAAATGAGCAGAATTCTGCGCTACTTGAACATGTAATGAAATGATTTGCTCGTCTGTTCATTATAATACATGACTAAAATTTGTCTGCAATGAAAATGTCCATTAAGTTTTATAATAACGTTTGCTTTTGAATAAATAAACTTTGTAATGTTTTTGATTGTTTTTTATGTCTCTTTCTGAGTTGCTAAAATCTGATTGTAATGGGATGCAGTAACAGTAATTAGTCCTGATTGATCATGTGACAATGAATGTCATATGTGGATGTAACATAACAAACACACAGCTTTTAATTTCACACAACATTAATTGATGGACTGGAGTGGTGTGGATTATGGACTACTGTGGTGTTTTTATCAGCTGTTTGGACTCTAATTCTGACGGCACCCATTCACTGCAAAGGATCCTTTGGTGACCAAGTGATGTATAATGCTACATTTCTCCAAATCTGTTCTCATGAAGAAACAAACTTATCTAAATCTTGGATGTCCTGAGGGTGAGGAAATTTTCAGCAATTTTTAGTTTTGGGTGAACTCTCTCTTTAATGACAGTAAGTTGTCCAGTCATTTCGAGTTCAACCACAACTTCGTATGAAGGGCGTGGTTTACTTTTATTTCTTAAGTTCTGCAGCACTTCCGCTCAGATTCGTAAGTTAACCATCTTATTGTATATGAATTAAACAACCACAGAATGAGGACGGTGCAGCTTTTAGTCTTCAGTAAGTTTAAGTTCATGCTCAATTTTACTGTGATCTTAATGAATAAGACTGAAGATTGTTTAAAGTGAAAGTGAAGTGTGGCCAAGTACGGTGACCCATACTCGGAAGCAGTGGGAAGCCATATTGCTGTGGCACCCAGGAAGCAGTTGAGGGTTCGGTGCCTTGCTCAAGGGTCTCACCTCAGTCGTGGTATTGAAGGTGGGAGAGAGCGCTGTACATTCACTCCCCCCACCTACAATCCCTGCCGGATCTGAGAGTCAAACCCGCAACCTTTGGGTTACAAGTCCGACTCTCTAACCATTAGGCCACGACTGCCCCACAAACAGAAATAATCTGAATGATCTGTGTGTTTCTGTACAGATCTGCTGCTGGTGTGTCAAACTACAGAGAGTTTATCTGATAAATGGGTGAATTTAGGGCAAAGTGTGACTTTAGACATTTACTGGCTTTTCCTGAAGCCAGCAGATTCTGTAGTGGTGATTCTGCGAACTTTCTCATCAGATTCTATATCTACTTTTGTACAAGATGAAGGATTCACAGACAAATATTCAACATTAACTTTGAACCGTTTATTTATTGGTAACATATCTATTGATGAATTAGGAATATATTATTGTGCAAAAGCAAGCATCTCTCTACAGCTCAGCAGTGGCACCAGACTTTACAGCACTGGTAAGTGTGTATAAAATCATCATGATAATTCTGTTATCTGTGAATGATCTAAAAACAGTTACAATGCACAAACTGTGTTAAACTGGTATTTTAACTTTCATTTCTGTCAGAGATCTACAAAATGCTGACGCATATTTGGTATTTCTGAACAAAACTCTTAACAGAAGCTGCTCAAAATCAGAATGAGACAGAACTGAATCAGTCACAACATCAGACGACACAGCAGGCTCTGATTGTTTTATACGTCATACTGAACATTGTGATGTTTTCTGCAGTGATAGATGAGAAGAATTCAGGATTCTGCGTGTATTATACAAAACAGTAATAATAAATAATTTTGAGAAAAAGAACAAAAGTGTTGTTGGTCGGGTGATGTAATACAATGTTACATAAACATATATGTAATACAAAATTATCAATATTTTTTTTTCAGTATGGTTTATCTTTGTTTTTGTTATGATAAAGTCTTATAAATGAGCCCATACAACTTGCTTGACTCATGTATCATGTAAATAAATATCAGTGGTGTATAAAGTACCTGAAAGCCATACTCAAGTAAAAGTACAGATATCTTACCAGAAAATGACTTTGGTAGAAGTTGAAGTCACCATTTAGAATATTACTTGAGTAAACACAGACAAAAGAACTAATAATCTTTGGATGTTATTCCTCTGTCACGCTCACCAAACGTCCCGTCAGACTTCTAAATAAATGATTAAAAAAAACATACATTAGCTGCTTATTCACGTTTATAAAGACACATTTCTGTAGGAAAGCACAGGTAAAGTAACTTATTTAATGCATTGCTTGGATTACTAAACTTTTTAAACTAAAGGCATTTTTCTTGCCATTAATCACAGACAAAAGAACTAATAATTTACATGAAGGTGATTTTCAGTGTTAGCGAATGCATTCATTTTTCTGTTTTGATAGGGTTTACACTTTTTTTTTAATGTGACTTAAGTTATACGTGACTTAATGACACCGTATAGTCTTCTCAGTAGAAAGTATGTTATTAGTATAAAAAACATCACCTTTCTGCTATCTGCTGGTATAAGCACACCACCATTTGATGAGCCTCACTGAGGTAAACGGGACACTCCGAGTGGAAATTTATCAATAAAAATGTTAAAAGCAAACGTGTTTTTTGAGCGCCAAATCAGCATGATTTCAGAAGGATCATGTGACACTGAAGACTGGAGTAACGATGCTAAACATTCAGGTTTGCTATCACAGGAATACAATAAAATATATAAAATAAAATATATTTAAACAGAAAATAGTTATTTACAAGTGTAATAATATTACTGTTTTTACTGTATTTTTGATCAAATAAATGCAGCCTTGGTGAGCATGAGAGAGTAAAAATATTTAAAAAATGTAACAACCCCAGACTTTTGAACTTTTTTCCATTTTCCATTAGTGTGTATATATAAATAAAAAACAAAGTCAAAGAATAAAGCCACTCAAAATCAGTGTAGAGCTTGTATATATATTTCATTCATAAGACTTAGTTATCAAGACAAACGTGAAAAGTCATGCTGAAAAAAATATTGAGAATTTTGCATTATACATGTTTAGGTAACAAACATCGGTCATTCTTAATCAACAATCAAGCTAACAATATTTTGCTCTCAATATTCAGCAGAATATACTTCTCTAGACTGTATGAGACGATTTACTCTTATGTAAGGAGTAAAAGTGTTGTTGTTGTTCGGGCAGAACAGACGAAACTCCACTTCAGAAAACTACAAAACACATCAATTAGATGTTCATTTGATCGAAAAAGAGATGTGTTGTACCTCTTCACCATTTCTGCAGAAAAACTGCCTTTTCTTACAAGCTTTGAGTTTGAGCTGGAATAGGCCTAAAATGGCATCAACATTTATGATGAAATATTACAAACTTCATCACCAATGGAATGATGGAATGTCTCACAACATATTGTAATGTGGGGTTTTGTGTTTGGGTTTTGTTTCATGTTCATGTTTTCATGTCTTTTATTTTGGAATTATTTCATGCTGTTAGTGTCATGCTTCCCTTGCCCTCTTGTCTTCATGCCATTGGTTCCTCTGTTCTTTGTGTCATGTTCTGATTGGTTGTCTTAGTCATGTGTCTTGTTTCCCATTGGTTTGTTCTTGTCATGTGACCCTCTTTGTCTGATATAAGTAGCCATCATGTTGCCATAGTCTTGGTCGTGTATTGATGTTGTAACCTGCTGTCGGTGAGTCTAGTCTGTTCATGCCTCGTCAAGTCAAGTCTGTGTATCTTGTTTGGATGTTGTTTGGATCACTCTGTAAATAAACTGCACTTGGGTTCTCACTTCAACTCGCCTTCAGTGGATGATTCGTTACACATATCAAGTACACAAGCATTTAAAGGAAGTCTTGTATATTATAAATTACCTGTTGTTTTATATATTATCATTCTGAATTCTCATCTTATCACTGCAGAAAACATCACAATGTTCAGTATGACGTATAAAACAGTCAGAGCCTGCTGTGTCGTCTGATGTTGTGACTGATTCAGTTCTGTCTCATTCTGAGCAGATTCTGTTAAGAGATTTGTTCAGATAAAAATATCAAATATGCATCAACATCATGTAGACATCTGACAGAAATAAAGACAAAAATAGCAATTTAATGCAGTATTGACAGATATAATAACAGATCAGATAGGTTTGTCATGAGTTTATACACTTACCAGAGGTATAAATTCTGAAACCATCACTGAGCTGTAGAGACGAGCCTGTTTTTGCACAGTAATATATTCCTAATTCATCATTAGTTATGTTACTAATCAATAAACCACTGAAAGTTAGTGATGAATATTTGTCTTCCACTTGCAGAAGAGTAAAAGCTGCACCGTCCTCATTCTGTGGTCGTTTAATTCATATATAATAAGATGGTTAACTTTACTATGAATCTGAGCAGAAGTGCTGCAGACCTTAAGAAATAAAAGGAAACCACTCCCTTGAAAAGAAGATGTGGTTCAACTTGAACTGACCGGACAACTTACTGTCATTAAAGCATTTCAGGAGCCTTTAAGTATTTAAGATCCATGAAGGTGAAACTGCATTTGGAAAGTGAACCCACAAATGCACAAATACTCAAATCAGCTCGTTGATGACTCCGAAAGAGACAAAAAAATAAACAAGCAAAAATGTTAGAAATTTGATTTATTCGAGAAGAAAATTTTATTATAAAACTTGATATTTTAATTGCAGACAGATTTAAGTCATGTTTCATTATGAACAGACAAGAGCAAATCATGTTTTAAAGTCATAATCATAATTTCATTACATGTTCAAGCAGCTCTCAATTCTGATCATTTGAAGCAAACAGCGATAAATCAACACAATCTCTCAGTATGAAGCTGTTTCATATACAAAGTTTGGCTGAACTTGTAGATATTCAGGATCTGTCAGTGCCGCTGGTCTGAATGGATGTTATTCCTCTGTCACGCTCACCAAACGTCCCGTCAGACTTCTAAATAAATGATTAAAAAAAAACATACATTAGCTGCTTATTCACGTTTATAAAGACACATTTCTGTAGGAAAGCACAGGTGAAGTAACTTATTTAATGCATTGCTTGGATTACTAAACTTTTTAAACTAAAGGCATTTTTCTTGCCATTAAGATCTCAGTTATATTTGTATAAATGTGACCCTAGACCACAAAACCAGTCATAAGGGTAATTTGTTGGAAATCAATCTGAAATAGATTGATAAAAGCTGAATAAATAAGCTTTCCATTGATGTATGGTTTGTTAGGATAGGACCATATTTGGTCGAGACACAACTATTTGAAAATCTGGAATCTGAGGGTGCAAAACAAAACAAAAATCAAAATACTGAGAAAATCGCCTTTAAAGTTGTCCAAATGAAGTTCTTAGCAATACATATTACTAATCAAAAATTAAGTTGTGATATATTTATGGTAGGAAATTTACAAAATATCTTGCAGCAGCGTCTTCATTCTGGGAGCTTGTTGAACGTGTGTTCAGGTTGAGCTTGTGTTCAGGTTGAAGTTTATAGTGTCTCTTAGAGGAAGTGCTACTGCTAAGCTGCAGAAAATATCAAATTAAACAAATGACTCACTGAAATGAAGCAAGTTCAACCTGATCCTTTTACTGTAAGTAATGCCTCATTTTGAAAAAAATAAGGTCCAAATATGCATCTTACCTTCCATTCAAAATCAGTTCAAAATTGCTATATTATTTAAAAATCTAATACAAAAAAAGTTTCTAAAATATACATTTTCTTTTGGAAATGGGTGTTTATCATGTCATATGCTGCAGATTAATCAAAATAACTTTCTGGGAATGGCAGCTGTCTTTACTCATTCCAGACTAAATGAACAGACACATGAGAGATCAAATTGATCAAGAACAGCAATCATCTACAGGCTACAGAAAGATTATATTGACTGAGTAAAACTTTTTACTTCAGTAAAATTTAGTAAGTCAAAATGGAAGTGTTATGGAAATGGTAATTAGTTTTTGTCATTATTATAGAAAATTTACAACCCCTTCTTGATGCACTTTATAAATAAACCAGAGGCTTAAAAGAGAACATTTATTACGAGATATTTATTTTTTAATTACACTCGTAAAAATAAAGGTGCTTCAAAGGTTCTTCATAATGATGCCATAAAAGAACCATTTTTGGTTCCACAAAGAACCATTCGGTCAAAGGTTCTTTAAAAAACCATCTCTTTCTTACCTTTTTATAATCTGAAGAACCTTCTTTCGCCACAAAGAACCTTTTGTGAAACAAAAAGGTTATGGAATTGGAACCATTTAGACAAAAAATGCTCTTCTATGGCATCGTGAAGCACCTTTATTTTCAAGAGTGCATTTAGTCTAAGACAAATGTCCTTTTTAGGAAAAGCTACACAATTCAGTTCCATTACGTATGTCTGAAAATAAAGGATCTATGATTCACAATCATGCAACCTCCAGATAAGCTTGATTTGAAATTTAGACACAATTTTCACTTCCTTTTTTGTGTCATTAAATTTTAAATATTAAATGTACATAGGAAATATCTTTCAAAAAAATATATTTTAGTTTAGATAACTAACATAAGCGTTAGAATGATTTCTGAAGGATGTGACACTGAAGACTTAAGTATTGGCTGCTAAAAATTCAGCTTTGCCATCACAGACATTACTTCTATTTTAAAATACGTTAAAATAGATAAGTTATTTTAAATTGTAATAATTTTGCCATGTCTTTCATGTTTCTTGTATCTAACCGCAGACTCTTGCTTCATTCAAATGCAGCTGTGTGCCATCTTGTGCCTTAGTTATCGACTGTATTTACTAAAAATGAAACCGGAGGTCTTCAGTATTAAAAGTAAGTCTACGGTAAGTGGGCTTACTTAAGTGTTCATCTTGTTGTCCCCATGTTGAGAGAAATTGGGAGTCAGCGTGACCAAAAGCACTTCCTTCAGCCTGAGGCTTATTCATTTAACTTTTGGTGTAAAAGGGCCTTTACAGTTGCCAAAAATATAACTTTTTTTTATTTAAAATAAATAAGCAAGCCTAGCCCAGGTGACTAAAAGCAATGCAAACGTAAAGTAATGCATTACTTTCTATAAAAAGTAACTAGGTAACGCAAATTGGTTACTTTTTAGCGAGTAATGCAATATTGTAAATTGGCCTTTGAACTTAGCTTTATTGCATGGCAAAAAAAAGTGTTACCTTGCCAAAGCACTGACAGAGCCCACTGATCTAATGGCGTTGTTGAGCGCTCCAAATGCAAACTTTGCATGCAACAATCAGGCAGCAATTGACAGCACTCTGATCTAGTGGCATACAGGCATCGTCAGATTGACAGTACTCTAGCCCAATAATGTTGGGGGATCCAGTGGGGGCGGCAGTCATATTTCAGGGTGACCGTGCCACTCTTTATCACAACCCTGCTAAAAGTGCCAGTACATGCGCTCATTGGCGCCCCTTCAGCTGGTGGCGCCCTAGGCGACCGCCTAGCTCGCCTATGCCTAGAAACGGCCCTGATTGTAATGCATTACTTTTAAAAGTAACTTTCCCCAACAATGGTCTCCATGTTTGTGATATCGTCCTGTAGAAATAAAGACGGATTATTTTAGTCATCAAAATTGTGAACAGCTTTAAAGGAAAGAAACCAAAATGTGCTGACATGCTCATTTTGGTATTTGATGAAATATGGTCTGGACACCAAACAAGAAGTGAACATTGTGTGTCCACATCTGGAGGTTACACAACTGTTTAGGGTAAATGAATCATCCAAATCCTCTACTTAATGGAACTGAATTGCATCACTTCCTCATAAAATTACATTTGTCTTGGACTAAACTAAACACGTCATTGTCATTTACACATAGCAACCTAAAACCTCAACAACAAAACATCACATAATAGGGTAAAAGTTATAAATGAATTAGAAAAACTGGACTTTTACATTTTATAATATTTGAACATTTCGAATTTCCACTGAAGTAAAAAGTTCCTCTCAGTCAATATCTGCAGCCTACAGATGATTGCTTTTATTTTTTTTATTATAGTTTTGTCCCTCATGTCTGGAATGAGTAGCAATCGCTACCAGAAAGTTATTTTTAACATCTTTAACAAAAATTTGATGAAGCTGCAGAAAATTATGCATCTTGTACACCTGTTTCTCCGTACGTATTTTGTTCTGTATTCGATTTTTAAATTAAAATAGCAGTTATGAACTGATATTGAATGGAAGGTAAGATGCATATTTGATCCTGATTTTTTTTTCAAAATGAGGCATTACTTACAGTAAAAGGATCAGGTTGAACTTGCATCATTTCAGTGAGTCATTTGTTTAATTTGATATTTTCTGCAGCTCAGCAGTAGCACTTCCTCTAAGAGACATTATAAACTTCAATCTGAACACAAGCTCAACCTGAACACACGTTCAACAAGCTCCCAGAATGAAGACGCTGCTGCTTTCACTGCTCTGTAAGTTTATTTCTGTGGGATTGAGTGTGATTCTGTCATGATCAGATGATCTCAATGATCTGTTTTCTGTTTCTTCAGGTCTGTCTGTGTGGAGTCAGTCCACAGAAGCTTTAACTGATCAGCAGGTGGTTTTAGGACAGAGTGTGACTTTAGCCTGTGAGTACAGATTAAAAGTCGTGTCCAAATATAAGTACTTATTATAACTATACCGTAGTGATTCGGAATAAGACAAAAACCCGGTTTGGAAGATGAATTCATGATGTACTCGCTCATTAAATACAATTTGCAAACTTTGAACACAGAAAAAGTTACATTGTGCTGCTTTAAAACTATGTATCTATTCTGGAATTAATGTTATGGCACTGTCTGTATTTAGTATCTGAGAGGTGACTGACGGCATGCAGTAACAGTGTTTACTCATTCAGCCCGGCTTCCAGAAAATAAATATGTATTTGTTTTGTAATAATTCATTTGAATCATTATATGATCAAAAGTTATATGTCTTTAGGGCAATGGAGGTCACTATGCATCACATGTATCCACTAACTCTTATGTATGTTTAACATATATAATACTTTTTAGGGTTTATAGCACCAGTTGCTATATGTTTTGAAGTTGCTAGAATTATCTGTACTGTTAGCGTATCACAACTTGTAGAAATGACGTCAACCGGTCATCCATATATGACTATAAGTGCTAGTGTTTCTGTATTCTAAGTTAGTTCGAGGATGGCTTCTCTTACTCATTTTCTAAAGTGCTTGGAAGAGTGGAAAATTCTGTCTTCAGTTCTCTCTATGGGGTTTAACTGTAATTCCCCTACACCCCTTAAATGCTTTAATGACAGTAAGTTGTCCGGTCAGTTCAAGTTCAGCCACATGTTCTTTGTGGGAGTGGTTTCCTTTTTCTTCTTAAATTCTGCAGCACTTCCGCTCACATTCATAGTAAAGTTAACCACCTTACTGCATATGAATTAAACAACACAGAATGAGGACGGTGCAGCTTTTACTCTTCTGTAAGTTTAAGTTCATGCAAGATTTTGTTCTGTTTTTATTATGGCCGTCATGTGTTGAATTGCTGTGGAAATAGAAATAATCTGAATGATCTGTGTGTTTTTGTGTAGGTCTGCTGGTGTGTCAAACCACAGAGAGTTTAACTGATAAATGGGTGAATTTAGGGCAAAACGTGACTTTAGACTGTCTGATTGGTGTAAAATACATTTATTGGGTTTTCCAGAAACTCTCAGATTCTCCAGTGCCGATACTGCGAACTTTCACATCAGAATCTACAGCATCTTATGTACAAGACCAAAGACTGAAAGACAAATATTCATCACTAACTTTGAGCCGTTTATTTATTAGTAATGTATCTATTGATGAATTAGGAATATATTATTGTGTAAAAACAGGCTCATTTCTACAGCTCAGCGATGGTATTAGACTTGACATCATTGGTGAGTGTATATAACATTATCTTGATAAATCAGTTTGATCTGTTGTTGAATGATCTAAAAGCAGTTACCACATGCACATTGCACAGTGTGTTAAATTTGTATTTGTCCTTTATTTCTATCAGAGGTCTATGTAATATTGATGCATATTTGGAATTTATGAACACAAAACTCTTGTATGTTTTGTTCTTAAGCTACTCAAGATCAGAATCAGACAGAACTGAACAATCAGTCACAACATCCGAAAACACAGCAGGCTCTGATTGTGTTATATGTTATATTGAACATTGTGATGTTTTCTGCAGTAATAGGTGAGAATTCAGGACTCGACATATCATATAAAATAATAATAATAATAATAATAATAATATAAAAGATGTCCTTTAAATGTTTTTTGTATTACTCGAGACTTTTTGCTACATTCCTTTAGAGATGAATTTTATAATATTTAATCAGAAATGTTGGTGCTGTTTAAGGCCTATTTCAGATCAAACTCCAAGCGTGTAAAAAAAGACACCAACAATGTCAAGATGAAGAACTGGAGCAGCTTTACAGCACAAATGGTGAAGAGGTACGACACTCTTATTCAGAATTCAGTGTGTGTTTATTGAATATAATCTTTCTACATGGACATTAGAAGCTCATTTATCTTTTGTTTGGCAGTTTTCTGAAGTGGAGTTTCGTCTGTTTCACCCGACCAAACAACACTTTTGTTCCTTTTCAAAAGCCAATGACAAAACCTAGACAAATATAATCAAGAGTAAATTGTCTCATACAGTTTAATAGAAGTATATTTTGATAAATAATCATAGAAAAAAAATTGTTAGCTTGATTGTTGGTTAAGATTGACTTATGTGTATTACCTGAACATGTAATGAAATATTATCAATATTTTTTCAGCATTACTTCTCTTTACTTTTCAGTAGCAATATATTCAAGTAATGTGAGGTGACATATAATGTTTCCTGTGTTCTGATTGGTTGGACTGGCTGTGGAAACCATCTTTGGGAAAAATTCAATTGAAGTGTCATTTTGATTTATTAGTTTGGCTCACATGCCATTCCTTTAGAAGGCGGGGTTTATGACCTGTACTGCAGTCAGCCGCCAGATGGCGATGGAAATGTTTTGGCTTCACTTTGCAAGATGTGTGAGGCACACTTGCTTTGCATAGGTTAAAGGGGTCATATGATGTTGCTAAAAAGAACATTATTTTGTGTATTTGGTGTAATGAAATGTGTTTATGTGGTTTAAAGTTAAAAAAACACATTATTTTCCACATACTGTACATTATTATTTCTCCTCTATGCCCCGCCTTTTTGAAACACGTCGATTTTTACAAAGCTCATCAGTCTGAAAATCGAGGTGTTCTCTGATTGGCCAGCTATCCAGTGCGTTGTGATTGGCTGAATACCTCAAGCGTGTGACGGAAATGTTACGCCCCTACCATACTGTTGATGCCTTGTCCCAGCCGGAGCGATGAGACAAAAACATGAAAACCCATTATAAACGAGGCAGCCTGGCACATTCAAGTCACAAATGGCTCTTATGCTATGGTATAATAAGGTGGATAAATGCTAATTTGTTTGTTCTAAATTGTGTACAACTATACCATATATTTTGGGGAGAATTTTTCACCAAGAATCTGATTAAGCCTCCCAAAACCTCCTTAAATCATCATTTGTAAAAATGGTTTAAAAACAAAGTAGGTTAAATTAAGTATTTTAACAACTGCAAAAATATTGAAGGTTTTCTGTTCTGTATATTAAAACAATAAAAGTCTATGCAATGTCCCCATTTGGATAGCCAAGAAAATGTTAGTGTGTGGTGTTAATATGCAGATTGAATGTTTATGAACTGTGTAAATGATTTATTAATGTATTTCACTGCCAATCAACAAGCTGTGTTGCATATTTGATGAATAAAACTTGGCTTGTGTAATGCCGAGTGCTGTAGTCACTCTTCTGGTTTTTATGTATGTTTAATATATCTTTATTGTCTTGCTGCAGTCGTCTGCTCTGAGTCTGTTTTTTTCTTTTCTTTTTTTTTTCACAGTTGTGGGTTAGTTGGCTTCAACTCTGGTCTGGTTCATATTGCGTACAAAGTCACACATTGTGGAAAATACCAGCGCATGGGCCTTTGGTATCTTCGTCTTCATATCTAATCGATTTCATCACTATTAAGTGTGTTTGCTGGTTTCCTCTTTTATTCTGCAGAAGCAATTTTGCTCAGATTGATTTGAACTATTTACTGTATATCCTTTAAAGGGGTCATATGATGCTATTTTAAAGATCATTATTTTGTGTATTTGGTGTAACAGAATATGTTGACATGCTTTAATGTTCAAAAAACACATTATTTTTCAAATACTGTACATTACTGTAGGTCCTCTATGCCCCGCCTCTCTCAAAC